GGGGGGGGGGAGTAAATGGTATTTGTTTTCGTTGTTGCACAAAGACTCGCATAGAAAATGAATTTGAAGATTTTTTTAACACTACCACACGATAAACAATGAATTACTAGACGAATACCTTTGATATTTTAACAGAAAAAAGGTTAACTTCTATAGCAAAATAGTTTGTCATGTTATAAGTTTGGTTTAAAACGGTTCCAATGATGTTGCGACAGTAGTTCACTATATATACTAGATCCATTAAACAAAAAGTGATTTGCTATAGATAAACGGTAATGCTACCAATGCTTTAATAATAACAAACTGTTTCAGATTTATTTTGAGTCCGTAGTTTGTTGTTATATCAAGTGGACCCATTATCACCTTTCGTGACATTTTGATGGCTTATTCGATTAACGAAAAGGGTAGAAGTAACACGAAGGGTCTGGGTAAAACCTGGGAAACCTTTGATTTGAAAGTATACACTTCCTAGAACACATGTGCCATGGTTAGCGTACAGCCCGCATGGGAAGAATTTAGAAATCAACTAAAACGTTACGGGTTTGCTCATGATATTATACTGTTGATATGAAAGATATATAAGTTTTGATGCATAGCAACAAGAAATATCATAAATGCTTCAAAATACGGAATATCATCCGGAATCCGACTTCATTATTAAGATGATTGAGAGGACGATACATTCAGATATCAGAATGTTTTTTATACTCCTAATTATGCCATCTTTATAAGCTGTAAGCTGTACCAGGTTCATGCGATTTCTGTGCGTGGTGCGTGGTCCCTCGACGTATATATACAAATAAGTGCACAGGTAATTATATAAGTAACTGTATTTATATCATGATTGACGGAATACAAACATTTTTGTTAGTCACATTCACCCTCTGTTTATGCTTTACAGCGATCATTGTCTTGTTTTCAACAGGTACCACGCCCTCCGTTACAGCGGAAGTGACGTAGCCAACTCCACTAATGTTCCGAAACGGAGAACCACACACCCCGCTACCGATCTGGATCACGTCATGGGACGCAACCTTTGTCAGAACAACTCATTTTCGACTGTCATGGTAACTCACTAAAACAGCAGAACTTACACAATTACACCTAAATTTCATTTACAGCTAAAGTTATAACACGTGAATGTTTTCCAATCGGAATTGCTCGGGTCTTGCCGTCATATTGTTAGAAATGCTGTCAAATATAAGACATGACGATATTCCCGAACGATATACAATTGACGTTTGTCACCTGGCGGACAAGGTAACCGAACGTTGTGTTTCTTTAGTATCTCGGAACTCATTGACCGATCTATTACTAACCTATATGTTACCATTCGGAACACCTCGCCCCGATTTCAGTTCCTTCCAACGTTAGATGAATGAATCGGCCGAGAAGTTCCGAGTGATAGGTTACGGCACGGAATTAGATTAGATAAGTCCGTGGTTACGGGTAATGATGAGTCAGTAAGTCTATACCATTTACATTTTTTAACCCATCACCAATTTTAAATCCATTTTTATTTTAGTCCCACTCTAGTCCTGTAAAGGAAAGCTGCAGAACAACTCAAAAGTCACCTTCCCCATCGAAGTCCCACCATTTGAAATCGTTCCACTCCCTCGCCGTAAGTACGCCAAACCTGCCCCTCCCCGAGCGCCCAACCACTTTGTTTGCAGTGGGAGGGGTGGACCCCTTCGACACTCAGGCGGACGTAGCGTGCCGTATGGTGGAACAGTACAATCCACGATCAAACAGCTGGCACCGTGTTACCACCCTACCGGAAACACGTCACCATCTGGGCGTCGCAATGCTGGATGGCTTCTTGTTCGTAATAGGTGAGATTGTGTTATTTAAGGATTTTTAACTGAAATGTATCAAACCTTCGAAAATAATGTGGAGTTCTTATATATATTTTATTCTAAAATGATTGACAGGAGGATCAGTCCTGCTTAAAGATGACATTGAGAATCTCGCCAATCCTACCGATGTCAACTTCCGATACGATCCCGTAAACAACTCCTGGGCGAAGATTGCCTGCCTTAGACAGCCCCGGATGTATTTGAGTGTGAGTGTCCTAGAGGGCATTCTGTACGCTGTTGGCGGGAACGATTCATACGGCAGGTATGTATCTAACCACAAGAAACCAATTAAGGGTCCATGTACCACTGCCAAAAACGTTTTGCCGGTCTAAAATACTTTCTTAAAAGAACCCCATGCATTGCGGAAGTTTTATGAAAAAATATCATAACATGACGTTAAATATAACATTGGTCTGTTAGTAAACAAGCAACGTGGCTAGTCCGGAGTTCGAACTCTGGAACTCTGATCACAATACGGTCGCTCTAAGCAACAGAGCCACATGGTCGACGGTAGTCACTTAGATCAATTATGCTTACGTTGTATCGAAGACCAAATTAAGGGAGGGTTTTGTAATCGTTAAGAAAAACGTATAGTTTTGTCATGATATTTGGAAGCATTATCGTGATCTTTAGCGTGATTTCATCACATCCTCACTACTGTTCATATAGAGTCGGTCATCCGAACTCACAACTAGTTTATCTTACGGAACATATACGGATGTAACTTCAAAATACGGTGGTATTCTATGTTGCACATTTTGATGGCGTATACGGTAGTACGAACGCAGTTGGCAACGGACATTGGTGCGTGTTAGCGCTGCATAAAGAATACGTTCATTGCCAACTGCGTTCATGCGACCGGAAACGCCCTTATGATGAAGGACAATAATTACATTTATATTCAAAATATGTTTAAATGTTACATACGAAGGAACAAACGTCGACAAAGGTTGCTACGATGGTAACTACGGTAGCCGTTGTTGCTAATTTGGCGCCGTTAACGCTTCAGTCCGATGGCAACCATTGCTTGGTTTCTTAAACATCTAGATACACGAAATATATTGGGGATCCACTATTTCTAATTATAAACAAAGGGATGCTGTCACATTACTCAATTCAAAAACTAGAAAGGCTTTGAAAAGACGAAAAATTGTGTTTTTCACCGTGTATTTTCTATCTCTATCGTCTATCGATGTAGAATCCACGTTTAGCCTAGTAACCATCGTACAGTGTAGCAACCCGCTTCTACGTTTTTAACTTCGTATGTGGCATTTAAACAGATTTTGGATGTAGATATTAGTATTGACCTTCATCTCTGACCTAATTGTCATGGAAGTTTGTACAAAGGTGAAGTGTCAGAATACCTCATGTGAACACGTATTTCAGGGTCTCAAGGTCAACGGCAAGGTCACTATTGCTTTTTATAGATCAACAGCAGAGCCAAGCCGACATTCATGTCATACAGTTATTTGCCAGTTTGTTTGAATTTTGAGTGATATGTTTATATATTTTACAGAGTGTGAGTGAAACGAGGGTCTGTTTGAAAAACAGCTGTGCAAATAGGATTTTTTCGTGATGCTTTAATGTTCCCTCTTGAAACATCAGTTATTACACTTGAATTTACGCTTCACTACTCACACAGTCCCCGATGACTGCCCTTGTCGTTACAGGTCCCTGGATTCCGTGGAGTATTACGACCCTGATTTGAACCAGTGGGGCTATATCGCACCAATGACCACACCCAAGATAGGCGTGGCGACGGCCGGTTACCAGGGTCATCTGTATGTGGTCGGAGGATTTCAGGACGTTGGGGGTCAACGGGCTGTTCTCAGCAGCGTCGAGTGCTACAACCCACGGACAAACAGGTCAGTGGACTAGCCTTTTTGAATCTCATGTAGAGATATATACCCTTTAATTAAATTTAGACGAACCCCCTCCCCACTTGCCCTTTTGTTCTGGTAAAGTAAACTGTTCATGTTGTTAACAGATCTGCATGTGCAATAAAGCGAATGTGTCTAACATCAACTCAGGGCCACTCCCTCCCAAAGGAAAAAAAAGAATAAAAATGTTTTTTTTTTTTTTTTTATCTTTGATAAGTATTAAGTTGATATTCATGGCAAACACGTTGATGAATTTTCTAGTTTCTCATGACTGTTCTGTATCATGATTTGTACCCTGTAATATAAATCTATGAGTGTGTAATACGGTCCCAGGTGTATTGCCAGGCGTTGCAGGAACTAAACCGTGTCTCGATATGTCTCGAGATTTCTAAATGTTTGTAATATAATATGATAAACTGGAAATTGGCAGGCATGGGTATGAGGTACCAGTGTGGCGTTGTTTGATGCTGACGCCGTTGTGACCAAATACTAAACAAGCCGTGTAATCGAAAATACAAGTTCTGTTTTTCGCTCCTGGATGAAAAATATCAATCGGTAATGTGCACCAGGCTATATCCGTCGTTCCCTCGGATTTGTAAGATCCGCCATTAACATACTTAGGTAGCGGCACTAAACTCCTACAGACGCTGTCAAGACCTAAAATAAGGTATTATCAATATGGTGGCCGGTAGGTTCCATTTAGTTGTATTTCGCAGCGAAATAACGATAATCATCACCTTATTGTCTTGCCAATCGGGAATTAAGACCTTCTGTGTCATCGGTACTATAAATAGAATGGTTGCCGTCATAACACAGACTTATTTATTTTGATGGAACATACACAAACCCATTTCGCGCGAGTTCATGTAATAACTATATAAAGGAGGAAATTGGTTGACTGAATTGATAGATGTACTACAACTAAGGTTCAATGTCAAACTATTTTTTCATTCGATAATTATCTTTTGAAATTTATCTAAATGATATTGATAAAAAAATGAACTTCTTTGAAACCGGAAAAAGCAATGTTACCGCTTTCTATCTATATAGATCGATACATCGTTAATAAGCTCATTGAATTGCATGTTTTGTAAGTTTAACTTTACATGTGATTTATCTAAATAAAGCACTTGACTTTACGACGGTTATAAATAGCGTCACTGACCTAGTAATGTTTGTACCTTCGATAACACCATGTCCTTAAATGACCTCAGCTGTAGGTAGGACGATAAACCCTATACAACCAACCAATCTTTCGATAACAACTGTTTTGTTAGTGTCTGAAAGGTTGGCAATGTTCAGTATAAACATAACATCTATAATCTGTTGTAGACATTGGTAAATCATTAATTGAGCATGTGTAATCGTCTGTTGTTGTTCTCGTGACCTCATGTAAGTCACATGAATATTTCTCGGTCAGTTATCGATGTTAAGATACATATCTCCGTGAGAATACAGCGAATTCAGGATTCACGTACCACTGCCTAGAACTGTAACTTTGCATTATATTTTTATTTTCATTCCCCCCGGCATGGATATAGCTTTGATAAATAATTTCTGAAAAGAAAAACAAAATACGGACTTTTTTTGACATTCGATAAAAAATGAAATACAAACGATATGATAAACTACAATGTTGTGTGTATAAATTTCCAACAGCGCTGGTCCAGGATTCGAACCTTGGACCTCAAATTATTATGGTGTCGCGTTATTTAACAGAGCTAGCGGTCAAACGGAAGTGCTCAGGAACTATTGCGTAAATCAAAATTAAAGGGAGGTAACTGATTATACGAAATCTTTAGTGTTTTGCTTGCAGTTGGCCGGACAGGAATCAAGTTAGGTTTCCATACTGTCCAAATACAGAGCCCTCTGCTTTCAGACGGCAATTATTTGTACTATATGAATGTCAACTGCATTTCGTGAAAGTTTCATGAACCATATTATATATGCGAACGTTGATACTCACTGATACAAAAACAAAGCACCTGTTGCATTAGCAATACGATTCAATGTATCATCGGTCTTTTGAAATGACGTCAAAATTATCTTTTATTCAGAGATGAAAAATGATTATCATATCTCAGAAACATGGACAAATTCAATTGTATCGATATTGCTGATAGGATCACTGAATAGTTGTCCGTCTGTATGTGAAAATATCAAAATAGGACGACAAACGTATTTTTTTTTCCAAAGTGAATGAGTGAATTAACGTGGAATCCAATGGGGCGGGGGTGTCACTTAATTAGTGCAGGTCACTATGTATTAAGAGATAATTCGGCGATTCTCACACATTTTATAAAGGTGAAAAGTTTCTTCTATCCGATTTCATATACAACGGTGATAGGAAAATCCATGTACCTTTGTACCTATCCCAGAAGTAAACAAAGCCATCACGGAATCTAAAGTGCCCCCGCCATTGTCTGTGTTGTCATCGTGAGGTCATCCAGTGTGGGAAAATAATTTTGACAGTCTGTTGGTCATACAGAGGCCATTTACCAAGACACTCATACGGCACGTAACCTGACCTTTTATCGTGACATTGTGTCGTTGTAATTTGGTATTATATTACTGTAACGAGATATTTGTAATACTGTAACGTGACATTGTAATACCGTAACATGACATTGTAATACCGTAACGTGACATTGTAATACTGTAACGTGACATTGTAATAATGTAACGTGACATTGTAATACTATAACATGACATTGTGTCATTGTAACGTGACATTGTAATACTATAACATGACATATTTTAATACTGTAACGGGACATTGTAATATTATAACGGAACATTGTAAACTGTAACATGACATTTTAATACTGTAACGGGACATTGTTATACTGTAACGGGACATTGTTATACTGTAACGTGACATTGTTATACTGTAACGTGACATTGTAATACTGTAACGTGACATTATAATACTGTAACGTGACATTGTAATACTGTAACGTGACATTGTAATATTATAACGTGACATTGTAATACTGTACCGTGACATTGTTATACTGACCGTGACATTGTAATACAGTCACATGACATTGTAATACTGACCGTGACATTGTAATACAGTCACGTGATATTCTAATACTGTAAAAGTGACGTCATAAATACGTTTTTTTTGTATATGCGATATGTCACAATTGCTCTAATCCATGTCAGCGTCGCCATACCACCCCCCAAAATCCGTATCAGCCCTCTCCGTATCAGCCCGCAAAACCCGTATCACACCCCTTTTGGAAATTTTTCGTTTTTCAAAATTTCAAAAGAAAAATAGATCATAAGATAGAAGATCCATCCGTATTTTATCAGTAGGTATGTAATAAACATAATAGAACATGCCTTTTCCATATCACACCCAGTTTCAACCCGAGACTGCAATATCAGCCCGAGGGCCGAAGGGGTGTGATACGGTGAGGGCTGATAAAGGTTAGAGTAATTGTGTCGTATCGCATATACAAAAAGCCCGTATTTATTAGTAAGTATGTAATAAATTGTAATACTGTAACGTGACATTGTATCTCTGAGAGCAACAACCAAAACTACACGACCAAAATGTTCTTAATGTGGTAGTCTAAGTGTCGTACTATAGGTAATCTAGAGGGAATTCCGTTTCGTTAATCTTAAATGTCTATGGTTAAACAAGACAGTCCTATATACATTATGATGTTAAGGGTTTATAAAGAGTCAATTCCGTACATCTAGAGGGTGTACCTCATATTCATCGATGTCATTTCATTTGCTTATGGTTCATCGAAAGGAATTTGCGTAGACAGTCTAATGTTATAGATGAAATTTCGTGTACAGTTAACATCAGCTACTGTAACATAATAGCCCAAGCATAAGCTATAGTCTCGATATTAAGTGACAAGAAAGTCCATCTACATACGAGATAGGTGCTGAAATAAAGCTATAAGTAAACGACTTGTTTACAACAGAGATATGGAAAGTTTACGCCGTTAAAGCGATGTTACTACTGACACACTTAGGTAGGCCTACTAACCTATAGCTACCACGGCAGTCTCTGAGCAGTTATATCACGAAGAGAAGGTCAACGAGACACGACGTGGGTGTAGGCGGGGATGGAAAGTGAGGCTTACCAGTTAACCATTGACTATGGTGGCTGATTAGGGCAACTTTTACTTATTCGCGCTCTAGCATTGTCGCGCGACGCAGCGAAATTATCATTTTCTTAAACATTTTTTCGACGAGAAAAAAGCCAAATAGCGCCGTTATATTTTCCTAAACGACAATTTGTCAGTGCGAAGGTGCGCTGTTACATAAGTTGAAAAGGCGAAAAGCGCCATGCTAAACACTAATTTGCGCTTTGCACTTTTCTTGTTTCGCTTTTCGCGGCAGAAATGGCGCCTTAACACGAAATATGAAAAGAGTTTATTTCTCCTTCGCGTAGAAAATCAGCTAATATAAAGCCACCATTTTGGAAAATTAAAATCAAATCCACGTAAAGAGCAGTTTTTTGTTAGGGTCTCTTTGTCATGGCATCACAAATTTATGGTTTTGTACTAATGGTCAATAATGTCATTTGTATCATACTGTTGGCCATTTTAATTCTAGGGTCTCGTACTGGTTAGTCTCGTTCAACCAGACTCTCGTTGTCTGCGCAAGCCACGCCGAATCTTGAATTTCAAGTGATCAAGCGTCTGGTTGAAAGTATTGGTGGGTAATTTTACCACAGGGTATCGTTCACAATCAATATCATTGAGTCGTCATTATAATCACATTTTAAGACAAACGTTTTAGTGATCCAGATCACCATCTTGCATTACAGCTGGACCTTCAAGAACCCTTTGCCAGTGCCATGTTGTCATGCCAACCTAGTAGACGCCCGGGGGTCTCTGTATCTTCTCGGCGGATCCACTATTCCCGTGGGTAGCGCTTCAATTTGTTCCCTTCGCTCGGTTTACCGTTACTGTGACGACGAAGACGTATGGGAACTTGTCGCAAACATGAGAATCCCCAGACATGACGCAGGGGCTGCTGTCATTGGTATGTTTATCACGTGGCATGCAGTAATTGGCATGTATTATACACTTGACACAGTGTGAAAACCTATAATGTCAAAGTTGATGCAATGGTGTTTTTTCGATTTGTACTTATGCCTAAGTCTTCGTAATGAGCTGCTTTGGAATTTCGACAATGATTAAACAAGCATGTGGTGTCTGTACACTTCAGAATCACCATAAAACGAATAAAACACTTTCTCTTATGATTACATATAACACTCAATTACAATTAATTGGTCCTTTCGAAAAAACAACATAAAAAATGCACTGACGCCGTGTGTGTTGATCTATCGAACAGTAGCGTCACAAAGAAATGACAAAGACTTGCTAAAACATCGAGGAAAGCTTGTTTCTTGAAAATAAATAACGTATCGCTCTTTTCATTGTAGATTTTTATTTCTAATTTTGAATATGTTCTTGTTGTATTTTAGATTCGAGAATTTACGTTATCGGAGGGGTAAGTTCGGATGAGGGAAGAGCCCTTATGGACACCGAGTGTCTGGATGTGGACCACGACTTGATGACCTGGGTAGACGACCTCCGGCCGCTCGGACATCCGGTCCTCGGCATCGCGTGCTGTACGCTGGACGGCGATAATACCATTAATTAAGGTCTACTCATCCGGCTCGCAGGGCATGAGATTGTCCACATAGTCAAACACAGGAAGTGAATATTACAGTATAGACACACACAGGGCGTAAATATGACAATGTAGACACATACAGGGCGTAAATATGACAATGTAGACACATACAGGGCGTGGATATGACATTGTAGAAACATACAGGGCGTAAATATGACAATGTAGACACATACAGGGCGTGAATATGACAATGTAGACACACACAGGGCGTGGATATGACAATGTAGACACATACAGGGCGTGGATATGACAATGTAGACACATACAGGGCGTGCATATGACAATGTAGACACACCAGGGCCTGAATCTGAGCTTAATTGAATGGGAAATGACAAAATAGCAACATTTTGTGTAAAAACACCACGTAGCTTTCAAATAATCAGGTGACAAGTTAGAATATTTATACCCAATGAAGCGCTGATGAGAAATATTTCCCATCGTAATCATAGCAAAAGTAGGTACGTTAATAATGTAATGCGATGATGGCAGTGACCGGCGTATGTACACATATTTATTTATATATATCTATTAGCTATAAATCATGATTAATGATGTGATGATGATCTGTTACGGCTGGCGTGTTCGTAAGGACATTCATATTAACCAAAAGTATTGCTTATGAATTATGAATACTGTGATGAAATGAAATTTGATTTTCAAAATGATAATAAAGAGTTGAAACGAATCGATTATCATATATTTTTATTTCGTATTCACAAATTCACACATTCAAAAATGACAGACGTCGCTTGATTTCCGTCCAATTACACTATCTGACGTCATCCATGCCCTACCAGTGTACGCCACAGCTGTCCAGGCACTTATACAAGACCCCTTTAGTCCCGGGATCAACGTCAAACATTAACGATATATCATTCAAAAGTTAAGGATAAAACAACACTTTTTTCGGATACATGATCCTGCAGCTTTTTCATCCAAATACTCCCGTGAACTAAGGACATATTGTGGTGGACAGACGCCGCAAAAGGAATGTTAAAACTCCATACGTTCAAAACCTATATAATTCAAAATTGTTTTGTCCGTATACATCGTATTTAGTATGGATTATAATGTAGCGTTGGATGGGAATTTGGCGATACACACATACATTGACGGATGTCAGCTGGTCAATAGTTTTTCGTCCATTGTATATATTGTTCTTCACACATTCAGCAATTCTGTCTTACTTTATGTTGAAACTTGCATATATGTTTGCCTTATCTTATCTTGTATACAAATCACAAAGAGGCAAATGTAACATTGGGCGTTACACCATGTTATATCAAGCGTTGACTGGACGTCACAGGCGATGTCATCACTGCTATGTGACGTCACTGCATGGCATCGTTCTTTGGTAACTCGAAACAGACATCCTTGATACTCTAGGGGTTACGATATCTCACGCTCTCTGCACATCCAAAGTACATAATGACAAAATCATTTTCAGGTTAAAAAATCCTGACCAATCGCTAGGCTGATAAATGTCTTTCAAAAATTACAGTGGAGCGACACCCGACTTCAAAGCCAGTCAATTTTACCGTAACGCTGCCGCGCAGTTCTTTTATTAATGTTCACCAACACATTATCCATCAGGTGGCACGCCTTCGATTTCGTCATAACATATTCCAGGGGTGCAGTGAGCGTTATCACTGGTGTATCGAGGACGGGTACATGTGGACTTAACGAGTATAATAACCACTGTGTGTGGAGTTGGGTCAGTAGGGATTATCCGGTACTATAACCTTGTTGTGTGGTATGTGTGGTCGTACGTAGCCGATTCTATAGTCTGTAGATCACTTTGTGGTATACGTAGTTGAAGCCGGTACAATTAACTATTATTCGTGGTATATGTTGTCGTTCGTCAAAGGTTCAATAATCACTATGCTATGTGGTATATTAGGTCGTAACCGGTAAAATAATCACTTCATAATGTGGTATGTTTGGTCTAACAAAGCCGGTGAAAACGTCACTAAGTAGTAAATGTGATCTCCGCGAGTACAATAATCACTTAATGCAGTAACGTTAACGAACTCAACCGGTACACTATTTGTGTGGTGTATGTGGTCTTATAGACGCAGCCATAGCCGGTACACTATACACTTGTGTCGTACTTGTGGTTTGTACGTAGCCGGTACAATAATCACGTTGATAGATGTGACTGCTCGTAGCCGGTACAATAATCACTTTGATAGATGTGTCTGCTCGTAGCCGGTACAATACTCATTTTGATAGATGTGTCTGCTCGTAACCGGTACAATAATCACTTTGATAGATGGGTCTGCTCGTAGCCGGTACAATACTCATTTTGATAGATGTGTCTGCTCGTACCCGGTACAATAATCACTTTGATAGAGGTGGCTGCTCCCTTATAGACGCAGCCATAGCCGGTACACTATACACTTGTGTCGTACTTGTGGTTTGTACGTAGCCGGTACAATAATCACGTTGATAGATGTGTCTGCTCGTAGCCGGTACAATACTCACTTTGATAGATGTGTCTGCTCGTAACCGGTACAATAATCACTTTGATAGAGGTGGCTGCTCCCTTATAGACGCAGCCATAGCCGGTACACTATACACTTGTGTCGTCCTTGTGGTTTGTACGTAGCCGGTACAATAATCACGGTGATAGATGTGACTGCTCGTAGCCGGTACAATAATCTCTTTGATAGATGTGGCTGCTCGTAGCCGGCACAATAATCACTTTGATAGATGTGGCTGCTCGTAGCGGGACAATGCTCACGTTGATAGATGTGGCTGTTCGTAGCCGGTACAATAATCACTTTGATAGACGTGGCTGCTCGTAACCGGTACAATAATCACTTTGATAGATGGGTCTGCTCGTAGCCGGTACAATACTCATTTTGATAGATGTGTCTGCTCGTACCCGGTACAATAATCACTTTGATAGAGGTGGCTGCTCCCTTATAGACGCAGCCATAGCCGGTACACTATACACTTGTGTCGTACTTGTGGTTTGTACGTAGCCGGTACAATAATCACGTTGATAGATGTGTCTGCTCGTAGCCGGTACAATACTCATTTTGATAGATGTGTCTGCTCGTACCCGGTACAATAATCACTTTGATAGATGTGGCTGGTCGTAGCGGTACAATGCTCACGTTGATAGATGTGGCTGCTCGTAGCCGGTAGAACAATAACTTTGATAGATGTGGTCGTGAGAAGCCGGTACATCACTTTGATAGATGTGTCTGCTCGTAACCGGTACAATAATCACTTTGATAGATGGGTCTGCTCGTAGCCGGTACAATACTCATTTTGATAGATGTGTCTGCTCGTACCCGGTACAATAATCACTTTGATAGAGGTGGCTGCTCCCTTATAGACGCAGCCATAGCCGGTACACTATACACTTGTGTCGTACTTGTGGTTTGTACGTAGCCGGTACAATAATCACGTTGGTAGATGTGACTGCTCGTAGCCGGTACAATAATCACTTAGATAGATGTGTCTGTTCGTAGCCGGTACAATAATCTCTTTGATAGATGTGGCTGCTCGTAGCCGGCACAATAATCACTTTGATAGATGTGGCTGCTCGTAACCGGTACACTAATCACTTTGATAGATGTGTCTGCTCGTAGCCGGGACAATAATCACTTTGATAGATGTGGCTGCTCGTAACCGGTACAATAATCACTTTGATAGAGGTGGCTGCTCCCTTATAGACGCAGCCATAGCCGGTACACTATACACTTGTGTCGTACTTGTGGTTTGTACGTAGCCGGTACAATAATCACGTTGATAGATGTGTCTGCTCGTAGCCGGTACAATACTCATTTTGATAGATGTGTCTGCTCGTACCCGGTACAATAATCACTTTGATAGATGTGTTTGTTCGTAGCCGGTACAATAATCACTTTGATAGATGTGGCTGGTCGTAGCGGTACAATGCTCACGTTGATAGATGTGGCTGCTCGTAGCCGGGACAATAATCACTTTGATAGATGTGGCTGCTCGTAGCCGGGACAATAATCACTTTGATAGATGTGGCTGCTCGTAACCGGGACAATAATCACTTTGATAGATGTGTCTGCTCGTATCCGGTACAATAATCACTTTGATAGATGTGTCTGCTCGTAGCCGGGACAATAATCACTTTGATAGATGTGGCTGCTCGTAGCGGTACAATGCTCACGTTGATAGATGTGGCTGTTCGTAGCCGGTACAATAATCACTTTGATAGACGTGGCTGCTCGTAGCGGTACAATGCTTACGTTGATAGATGTGGCTGCTCGTAGCCGGTAGAACAATAACTTTGATAGATGTGGTCGTGAGAAGCCGGTACATTAATCACTTTGATAGATTTGGCTGCTCGTAGCCAGTACAATAATCACTTTGATAGAGGTGGTTGTTCGTAACCGGTACAATGCTCACGTTGATAGATGTGGCTGCACGTAGCCGGTACAATGATCACTTTGTGTGGTATATACGGTCGTATAGGTGCAGTCGCAACCGATACAGGCCGAAGTGAAATAGCTGGATAAGAGGAACAAGGACAAACGCCAGCCCAACGACTATACCTACCGCCAGTCCGGGATTGTTCCAGTCCATGATGTTGTACACAACGTTATGAACTTTGTCCTCACTCCAATATATCACATTGAACACAGCGTAGGCGACGCCATATATCATTGGATAGATGACATGGAGTATGCGCACAGGACGTGCACTGACGGCCACGTCCAGAAGGACCAAGACCGTACTTATCCCGTGCATGTTAATATCGTTGACAGCTATACCCTGGATACCCATGAACGGAAATAAAGCTGTAAAGTAAACTATTGTCACCACTATAGTGAAGTGTTGAGCGACGATAGACACCAGCCAACACACTTGAAAGTGCCAAGGTAGGAATTGAGCAACCGATGGCGCATTTCCGGTCTCAAGATTTGCCGTTGATGAAATGCCAACTGAAACGTCGGTGTTTGACACTTGTTGGCCGTCATCCTTTTGGAAAGAGCCGTTGACCGCTTTGACGGGTTCACTTTTCACTCGTGTTAAGACGATGCTGTTGGTGTGATCTTCACCATAACGTGTGCAGCAGGTACAAACAAACGCCAGCACAGCTGCCAACAGGAAATGTAACGTCAGAGTCAGGTACGTCCATATCGTGAGGTAGACCATGATGTTTTGTGGACCGCCACCCTCCGCCAACACAGCAGACAGGGACGCTATCGAGTACGCCGCCAACAAGGAACGAACTATCAAAAATACATAAGGATGCCATCGCCACTGCAACGAGAAATATAGAAATACAAAGTTATATTGTTGTTTTTTCTGAGATGCATCAAGCAAAAACATAATATAAAAAAACACGTCAAAATAACAAAGCTGGCTACATGCCGTTACGACAAATATGTGTACGTGATAGCAATACAATTATTAAACACTCAAGGCAAAACATAAAATAACACACAAAAGAAAATTATAAATCCCTATTTTGACATTAATTACCAAGCGAAGAAACATTGATACAGGTAAGTTATAAATTCTGACAGAAATAAATCACATCATTAATTTTATACATTACGAGTAAGAACATTATATTTGAAATCAATTTCATCAAAACTTGATGTCTAGGTAGGAGGGAATGTTCAAGAGTTCAACAAAAATATCAAACACATCATCATTGGCAACTTAACCTGTTCTGATTTCCCATCAGGAAATCGGTCTTGAAACTATATACATTGGTCTGGTTATCGTTAATGACACGTGCATATGTTCTAGTTAGTGATCGCCATCACATTGATTTCCAAAACAATATCTTATATTAAAAAGCAAGATTTTTACTGAAGATAGAATGGGTTGTTAGGTTCTTTTGTTTATTAGTTCAAGTACTGAAGCGTAACGCGTGCCAGTGTGTGTGAGACGTTCCTGGCGATAGAACACTTGGTTGTATATAGTGATAGCCTTGATATCATCTGTCTGAGCAACGCTATGCACATCTTTATTCTTTATTGCAGATAAAGCAACAGGTTTCCTGTCTTGGCCTTGGAATCAATTTCAGTAAAATGATTCGATGATTAATTTCAAACTCGAATTCGTAGCTCCAAATTTGATGGGTTCGAGAAAGACATAGTTTAGGAAACTGTCGGTGAACACATTGACGGAGGTTAACTGTAGATTGTTTTTCTACCACCTGAACTTAAGAAGAAATGGAATGTTAACCGACATAAGTCACATATAACCATGTGGTTGTTATAAAACTTGGTTTTGTCGAAAGCGTGATGCATCCAGAAAGAAGTAATGTTTCATATTCATGTCATACCATACGTTAACTTAGATGTCCTAGCATTTGCTTGGAGTACTTGTTATACGGTTGTATTGTAAACTTGTCTAAACTGTCAACATGACATACAGAGTACAGGACTAAATTATTGGTTTGTACAGTTTAGACATGATTATTTATAGACGAAATAAATTACTGTATAGTGCTGTAAAAAGGTTTTCTTTCGTTGGGTATCTGCGGTGACAAATCAATTTTCAATAAGCCTTTCCTCTCTTTGCATTTCTAGTGATTACATATCAAAGTGTTACTCCGCTAGTTGACCTTCAGTCGACGAGGCTGGAGTTTTACGACTTGAAATGCTTTCGTATTGCTTGTAAAACGTTGTAACATTTGGATATCTTGTAAAATCATGTTAGTTTCTAAATAGTGTGATTTATAGGGCTACTGTAAACATTTTTTTAAATATTGAAATCTTGTGGTTTATATTATAATATTTGACACGCCATAGTATATTTAGTGCACGCATTCTAATTTATCAGATGTATTGAATATGAATACCAAGTGAAAGCAGATCAACGTTGAAAGATTTACCATCGCAATATTTTATAATCTCACCAAAATTCACAAAATTCATAGTACGACACTCGCTAGTTAGGAAACATTTATCTGGTTCCGTTGGACCGATGAAGGGAATTTGTGAGCCTCGGACAAAGTTAGTGAACTGCAGTTGGAAAGTGTGCACGATTCTCACTTCCTTTCATCAAGCCATACATGCAACCGAAGTTTCAGTGTCTCCTTATATTTGAAGGAATCCACTAATACACTAGCACGTTTAAAACACAGTATGCACCGACGTTGGAGTATTCCGTCTTTTCGTATTGCAGAGTTATCTGCACTTGTGAGCTTGAATTGATTGTTACGTCATTTGTTTGTGAGAGTAACGTCATCAATTTTTGAGAAAACGACGTAATTGTCTCACACAAACCAATGACGTAACAAGCTTTTCACCACTTTTTCCGTCGCCAAGGAGACGCACATTATAGGCCAAAACAGATAAGTACTGATTGAAGTTGTTGATTGAACAATAACAAAATAACCGCTAGAAATACGAAGAAATGGAGCACCTAATAAGACATTTTGTTTTTAGATGCAGAAAGCCAAAAAAACAAAAACTTGTACTGCACCAAATGGCCATTTCGTCAAAATAGGTTTCGTCAGTGATATTAAAGGTCCAAAGAATGAAACAACTATGTCAAAAGGGTTCCGATACACACGTAGATCGAACACATCGAAAAGGGGGAAGTGACTTCTAAACCATTTAAAACGTTACAAATTAACAAGTTTAGACTGAAACAAATAATTATTTCTGCTAAAACTAGTGTTTCATGTTTAGTCTACAGCCAACATTGGGACTAATAGTCCACCAGGAGAATCAACCACTTTGTTGCGTAAAGTAATCACTAGAAATACGAAAAATTGAAGGTTCTATTCAAAATTTTATTAATATTTTTAAAATAGTTTGCTTTAAAGACGGGAAATGAGGGAAATTGACAAAACAAAAAATATATTAATTAACTTGCAAGGAAACAAAAGTAGCATGACTTGCTCCCTAAAATATTTGTAGAGGTGATGATTGATGTCCCCACTGTATGAATATCGAAAGACAGATTTAATGCCATTTCATGGATTGACTCATGTAAAAATTCAGATAAGCTGTGAAGCAAAATATAGACAATTATTCTCCAAGAATAATGGCGGGACGTACGCGATTTTTGAATTGGTAATGTTGGCTACCGTGCACTGATCTTAATAGAAAAACGACCGTTTTTATCAAGCATACACGATACACACATTTAAATTGAATTGAAAGCTGAATTCCGAAAATAGGTATCAAGATACATGTTTTAAAATGTTCAAAGAAATGCTAAATATACAACCTCTCATCTGCTGTCAGTTGACAATCATAGACAATACAAATGGCAACTAAAACATTACAAAATGAAGCAATAACTCAGTTTAATTAACGTATCAATTTAGTCTGGTTATAATAGTGGTACAGGATAAATGCATGGATCTCTTTATACGCTGTATTTTACAATACAAGGTATAAGCTACAATCCCCTGCCTTTTACATCACAATTCAGCCACGATCCTCTGCCCTTTACCTCTCTGCCTATCATGATACCAGGTATTCAATCTGCTCCTCTCTGCATTTTACGATACAAAAATACAGGCTGCACTCCCTGTTTTTCAGGATTCAAGTTATATAAGCTACATTCCCGTGTCTTTAACTTTATCAGTTATGTGCACTCCTCTGCCTTTTACATTACAAGTCATATCAGATTCACTAAGAAACCAGTTTATTTTGCAAATTACGAAACAATTTATATCGACTTATTTAACAATGTAATCACTCGTGTTGGCCGAGATGTCAGCACGGGGTCTTTATTTTGTGGGAGGAACACGTACCCACGTGGTCTTGCAGGTGACCGCAGCACTTTTTTCACGTCCGATCAGGGAATAGAACACCAGTCGTATTGGTGCCCTACCTACTGCGCCACTCGACCACCCAACAGATGCACTCCTCTGCCTTTTAGGACATAAATTATATCAACTGCACTCCTCTGCCTTTAATAAGAGTGTACTGCTTCTGTATTCTGCTATCGTTGATGATACAATCAGTTGTGTTTCCCAATTTAGTTCCATAAATTGACATACTTTAAGATTCTTTAAGTATCTAAAGCACATTTTGTCAGTCAGAATCATTTTCTCATTTATTTTATTTGTACATGTTTTTTCCTATATATGTATTACAACCAATCGTATTCGTTGTAGATGATAAATATCAAATATTTCGAAATTGATATACAATTGATAATGAAGAAATGAAGAGAAATTAAAGATTTGTTGAACAAACCGAGCTGTGTTATTTAGAGAAAGTGATCGCGAGTTTCGGGTTATTACCAGAGCGAGAAGATATATCGATATCAAAAGCTTGTACATGATGGAGGGCCGACAGGAAACTAAATGTGTATTAAAGCATTTGTGCGTAGTATACACATGAATAGAGCAATAATATCACCAACATATTCAGCAAAAGATTGTAACGAAATTGCCAGTGAAGTCTGCCCGAACTTACTGTACTTTCAACGTCTTTTTGATCTATTTAATGTTTTAATGAAAAATACAGGTCAATGTTTGCATACAAAACTAATTAATCATTTTAGTAAAGTGCGATTGATCGGGAATGTATGCTTACATATTGAAAAACTGAAGACTTCTGTGCAACTGCTCTCAGATTTTAACATCGATAGTTTGCACTTTAATTGGAATTTGCACCAATGATTTTAGGGTAATTTACAACTCTACGACTGCTGTCAAGAAAGTGTCATCTGAACCGGCACCTATATTTTGGGTTGTAATAAAACAATAGTTTTCGGTGAGCATCACAATTACATGACCAATTATTCCAGTTGACTTTTGTTTTGATATGATAGTGATGCATGATACAGTATATTTAACGATACATCACCATAAAACCCTACACGGAATGTGTTTTAACGACACATCACGATAGAAACAATAAAAGGGATGTGTTTTAACGACATATCAATATACAAACAATACACGGGATGTGTTTTAACGACACATCACGATAGAAACAATACACGGGATGTATTTTAACGACACATCAGGATACAAACAATACACGGGATGTGTTTTAACGACACATCACGATAGAAACAATACACGGGATGTGTTTTAACGACACTTCACGAAAGAAACAATACACGAGATGTATTTTAACGACACATCACGATAGAAACAATACACGGGATGTGTATTAACGACACAACACCGTAGAAATCATACACGGAATATATTTTAATGACATATCACCATAGCATAGAAACAATAGAAGAAACGTTGTTTAAAGCCCCATCATCATAGTAACTTTTGGGATTGCATTTCGTTGGTACTAAAATGTCATATAAGAGTATAT